CAACCTTTACAACCAATAAATTATGGCCAGAAATGACACACACACACACACACACACACACACACACACACACACACACACACACACACACACACACACACACACACACAATAAATACAGCACAGCCATCATACAGCAGATGTGAAGGCCACATTACTGATGAACTGATCAGTCTGATTACACTGAGTGTTACACTGATCCGCTGGAGACGTCCAGCCAGCAGAGCGAGGCCTTCACACACCTCTGAGAGTAACACACACACACACACTCGAGAACCCCTGCTGGAACACACAGGAAAATAAGGAACAGAAATAAACCTGCTGTGTGTCTGCTAAAGTGCTCACGGCAAACACACACCATGCAGTAAAACACACACGCACGCACACGCGCACACACACACGCACACACACACACACACTCTCTCCTCAGGTTATAAAATAAATCAAGCCACTATGAACTGCAGAAGCTGATCTGAAACACTGCTGTGTTCATGTCCATGTGTGTGTGTGTGTGTGTGTGTGTGTGTGTGTGTGTGAAAGCTCCTCCTGTGAAGGCAGAACTGCTGTGTGAGATTTCAGGATACACTGAAAGTTCATCACACACACTCTGAGCAGCAGGTCTGGATCCACTGTGTGTGTGTGTGTGTGTGCGTGCGCGTGTGTGTGTGGACTCTTCAGATGATGGGCTTGTACAGCAGTGACGTCACGTACTTCTTCTTGTATCGGTGAGTTGCGCTGAGAACCATCACTCCATCCTGACACAGAAACAGCATTCAGAAACAGGAAGTGACATCACTCAGGTTTTCTGCAGGTGTGTGTGAGACGCACCTTGATGGAGAGCGCGTACAGGTGGTTCAGCATCACGTGGTTGGGTTCAGGCAGCAGCGCCGGGTCACACTGACAACACAGAACACGGACACACACACGGACATAATTTAATTACAGAGTTAAAGTCACAGTGTTTCATGACAGTTACTGAGAGGACGTGTGTCATTCAGTGGCAGATACTTAGGGAAATGTTGAAGATGACAGATGAGGCTATTGACCTTATTCTGAAATGTGGAAGTGCGGCTGTTTTCACGATTGTCTTAGAACTTCCGATTCAGTCGCCTATGGGAGAAATGACTAGGAATAATAAACGGCAGAAAACGGTCAAACTACTCGCTCTACAAACAAACGTTTGCATGACTACACAGACCAAGTAGCATAATATAACAAGGAAATATCCGTCTGCAACATCAAACAGCGAAACGAGCAGTTTTAATGTCTAATAATGAATGGAAGTGAATGAGACCGGAAGACTCGAGCCAAAAAGATTCTGATGGCAGCGCCCGCTCGTCTGCTGAGAGTGAGGTGAATATCCACACATGCGGAGTAATATTGATCTGCTGTTCGCCTGTGTTTGGTCTGCATGACGTCTCTGCGCAGTTCATTTCTCACTGATGATGTCCACTGGGTTTCTGCTTTGACCACGTCCACCAGTTTACTGTAGTAAAGGCTGAAGTATACTGTGGTAATCACTATTAGCTGATGATAGTTAGTCATGATCCTACATTATGTAGTGTAATTCATTAATGAAGAGTTGTAGATATAAGCTCAATATAACACTCAACATTCCCCTGTACTCTACATGACTGCGTCAGCTGCTTCACTGCATCTGTGGTTTAGCTGTCATCTATAATCATGTGTTTGTGTTGAATACAGCATATTATTACAGTGAACACCTGAACTGAGCAGGTCTGCCTCATCTGTTCACTGACAGGGTTATTGATCTGGATTTCAGCTGCTGCACGTTAAAGATGAAGACTGCAGAAACAGCTGCGATGTGTTTATTTATCGTGAATGCCACAGAAATGCCCTGCACTGACTCACACGCAGGTTTCATAAGAACAGTGAAGATGGTTTCGTGGTCAGGCCTGGCTGTACTTTAATATTGATTTAATCTAATCTTAATTCAGCGCTGAGATGTGGAGATGCTGACAGTGAACACAGCTGCTCTGAGCTCAGTCCTGCTCAGTGTACACGCCTGAAGATGATTGAGTTGAAAATAGAAGCTTAAATATAATCAAAGTGATCAGATGTGATCAGTTACTTCACTTATACAGTCATTGAAGAGGTTCACTACTCACTACATTTAAACAAGGACACCTGTAATCTGTCAGAGGAACCTCCGCAACACTGCCGGCTCAGTGAACATGTGGACGTCAGATCTCTGCACAGGTCCTCCGTCTCCAGCGCTCTCGCACTCTCCTCTACATGCTGATGTGGTGTGTTGAGGAGCAGCATGACATTATTTCAGGTCCAGAACGGGGCGGTTCTTCAAAACTCGCTTAAATGATCTAAGATGATTTGGCAGATCCTAGATCTGTTTATCTTGATCACTGATCTCTGGCTAATTTGGTTCTTCAAACAAGTTGGGGAATCAGATTAAAATGTCTGGATGAACTGATCTGAGATCTGTGTGTGTTGTGAAGGACAGATCTGTCCATCCTCCACATCAT